GGGATGCTCGAGGGTGGATGCCCATGGTCCGGGGGGAGATGCCCCATGGGAGGATGCCCCCAGTCCATGGGGGATGCCCTGGGGGGGATGCCCTTCGTCCGTGGGGGGATGCTCCATGGGAGGATGCCTCTGGACCATGGGGGGATGTCCCTGGTCTGTAAAGGGATGCTCCATGGGAGGATCCCCCCAGACCATGGGGTAATGCCCCTGGTCCATGGGGTATGCCCATGGGGGGATGCCCTGGGGGAGATGCCCATGGTCCAGGGGGGGATAATCCTCCATGGGAGGATGCCCCCAGTCCATGGGGAATGCCCTGGGGGGGATGCCCCAGTCCATGGGGCAATGCCCCAGGGGGTGATGCCCTGGTCTGGGTGGACATGCCCTGGTCTGGGTGGACATGCCCTGTGGGGTGATGCCCCCAGTCCATGGAGGGATGCTCCAGGGTGGATGCCCCTGGACCATGGAGGGATGTCCTGGGTGTGTGAGGGGATGCCCCATGGGAGGATGCCCCCAGACCCTGGGGTAATGCCCCTGGTCCATGGGGTATGCCCATGGGGGGATGCCCTGGGGGAGATGCCCATGGTCGAGGAGGGGAATCCTCCATGGGATGATGCCCCCAGTCCATGGGGAATGCCCCAGAGGGGGATGCCCTGGTCTGGGTGGAGATGCCCTGTGTGGTGATGCCCCCAGTCCATGAAGGGATGCTCCAAGGTGGATGCCCATGGTCCAGGGGAAGATGCCCCATGGGAGGATGTCCCAGAACCACGAGGGAGATGCCCCCAGTCTGTGGGAGCATGCCCCATGGGAGGGTGCCCCCAGACCATGGGGTGATGCCCCCGGTCCATGCCCTGGTGGAGGATGCCTATGGGGGAATGCCCTAGGGAAGATACCCATGGTCCAGAGGGGTAAATCCTCTATGGGATGATGCCCCCAGTCCATGGGGGATGCTCCAGGGGGTGATGCCCCAGGGGAGATGCCCTGGGGTGGATGCCCATGGTCCAGGGGGAGATGCTCCACAAGAGGATGCCCCTGGTCTGTGGGGGATGCCCTGGGAGCATCCATAGGGAGGATGACCTTGGAGGAGTGGGCACTCCCCCACAGCCCCCCTCTCCCCCCAGCAGCCCTGCGCTGCAGGATTCATCACGTGGCTCCCCTCCGGCTCTGCCGTGGGGCCGGGCATTTTTCTGGCACCAGCTGAATTATGGAGACGCCTCCGTCCCCGAGCACCTCGCCGGGGAGGGGAACGGAGTGAATCATAGAATCATAGAATCATTGAGGTTGGAAGAGACCCTTGGGATCAGCGAGTCCAACCATCTCCCCTACTCTACAAAGTCCTCCCCTACACCATGTCCCTCAGCACTGCATCTAAACGGCCCTTAAACACAGCCAGGGATGGGGACTCCACCCCCTCCCTGGGCAGCCTGTTCCAATGCCCGACCACTCTTTGGGTGAAAAATTCCTTCCTAATGTTCAATCTAACCCTCCCCTGTTGGAGCTTGAAGCCGTTCCCTCTCGTTCTGTCATTAATTACCTGCGAGAAGAGACCAGCACCAGCGTCTCTACAGTGTCCTTTCACGTAGTTGTAGAGAGTGATGAGGTCTCCCCTCAGCCTCCTCTTCCTCACACTAAACAGCCCCAGCTCCTTCAGCCGCTCTTCGGATGATGAGTCTTCCAGGCCCTTCACTATTTCGTTGCCCTCCTCTGCACTCGCTCCAGCACCTCCAGATCTCTCTTATATTGAGGTGCCCAAAACTGGACACAACACTCGAGGTGTGGCCTCCCCAGTGCTGAGTACAGGGGCACAATCTCCTCCCTACTTCTGCTGGTCACACTATTTTTGATACAAGCCAGAATAATGCATCGCCCCTTTCCTACGGCAGCAGCACCGTCCCTCAGCCCTGTGCCCTGTGCCGGGGCTTCCCTCGGGCCACCCGCCAGCCCCGCCGTCCCCGTGCCCTCTATTTTATGTGGGGTGAGGAGGGAGCTCTCTCTCCCTGCTGGAAAACCGGCTTGGGGACTGGCTTGGGCTGGCACCACATCCCGTGCCATCCCTGCCAGCCTCGTTAACCCCATCCCATCAGCTGCCAGGAAGGTTTTCACTGAATTTCACTGAATTTTTTTAGAGTTGGAAGGGACCATAGAGATCATCTAGTCCAACTCCCCTGCCAAAGCAGGACCACCCAGAGCTTGTCAGAGCATGTTACTCAGGAGCATCCAGGCGGGTCTTGAAAATCTCCAGAGAAGGGGACTCCACACCCTCCCTGGGCAGCCTGTTCCAGGGCTCTGGCACCCTCACCGTGAAGAAGTTTCTCCTCATATTTGAGTGGAACCTCTTCTGTTCCAACTTGTGCCCGTTGCCCCTCGTCCTCTCACTGGGAACCACTGAAAAGAGTCTGGCTCCCTCCTCCTTCAACCCTCCCTTGAGATACTTGTAGGCGTTGATAAGGTCTCCCCTCAGCCTTCTCTTCTCCAGACTAAAGAGTCCCAGCTCTCTCAGTCTCTCCTCATAAGGGAGATGCTCCAATCCTTGAATCATCTTTTGTGTGCCACGAGTGATATTTTGTGTGCCACGAGTGATATCGGGCCGACCTCGCTGATCATAAAAGCTCCTTTCCAGAAGAAATCCCGGCTCCGCTGATCCCACACCCTTTGAGGCTCGGGACCTGCCCTCACCCAGCCGGCAAAGGGGGTTTTTAGCCATTCCAGGAGCAGGAGCCTCCTCTGGGGATGGGTTTGGCACTTGGCACTGGTGAGACCCCACCTCGAGTACTGTGTCCAATTTTGGGCCCCCTACCACAAGAGGGACATTGAGGTGCTGGAGCGGGTCCAGAGAAGGGCAACGAAGCTGGTGAGGGGTCTGGAGCACAAGTCTTATGAGGAGAGGCTGAGGGAGCTGGGGGTGTTCAGCCTGGAGAAGAGGAGGCTGAGGGGAGACCTTATTGCTCTCTCCAACTCCCTGAAAGGAGGGTGTAGAGAGATGGGGGTCGGTCTCTTCTCCCAAGTTACAGATGATAGGACAAGGGGTAATGGCTTCAAGTTGCGCCAGGGGAAGTTCAGGTTGGCGATTAGGAACCATTTCTTTACTGAAAGGGTTGTCAGGCATTGGAATGGGCTGCCCAGGGAGGTGGTGGAGTCACCATCCCTGGAGGTATTTAAGAAACGTGTAGACATGGCTCTTCAGGGCATGCTCTGGTGCCCAAGATTACTGGTTTGTGGTGGGGTGCTGTGTGGGTGGGTGATGGTTTTTGGTTTGGTGGTTGTTGTTGTGTGTTTAGGGGGTGGGTGGTGGTTTTTTTTTTTGTGGTTTTTTTTTTTGTTGGTTGGACTCGATGATCTCTGAGGTCCCTTCCAACCACTACGATTCTGTGATTCTGTGATTCTGGGTGCAGCACCAGGTCACTGCCGTGGGTGGGGATGCCCTCACATGATCCGGCCCCTTCCCGTCGCCGGCGTTGGCAGGGGACACGGCGATGCGGGTGGAGGAGGGAACGGCTCCAAGGAGCAGCCTGGGAACGGCCTCGGGGACAATAAACGCTGTCAAAGCCTCATTCATGATGGAAGAACACGCAGCGCGAGTGCCGGCGTGTCTTTGTCCTCTCCCATCTGATTCCTCTCCTTCATTTCCTGCTGCTTTCACCTTATCTCCCTCTTTTCAGTGTGTTCCTCCCCGGCTCGGCGGGGTGGGGGTGGGGCTGTGCCCCACGGCACCGTGCTGGCGAGCAGAGCAATGTGCCAAGGGACGTCCTTGGGCTGGGGAGGGCTGGGAGAATGTCCTTGGCCATTGTGGGCTGGGGAGCTCCCAGGGTTGGGATGGTTTGAATTAGATTGAGTTAAGTTGGGTTGGGTTGAGTTGAGTTGGATTGAGCTGAGTTGGGTTGTGTTGAGTTGGGTTGGGTTGAGTTGGGTTGGGTTGGGTTGGGTTGAGTTGAGTTGGGTTGAGTTGGATTGAGTTGGGTTGAGTTGAGTTGGGTTGGGTTGGATTGAGTTGAGTTGAATTGAGTTGAGTTGGATTGAGTTGGGTTGGGTTGAGTTGAGTTCAGTTGGGTTGAGTTCCGTTGGCTTCTCCTCCCTCCTCCTCCTCCTCCCCTGGCACGCTGGCAGGGCCTGAAGGCTCCATAACCGTAACGGTGCTGGTGCAGCCGACCACAAAGTGTGTCCAAATTCCAGCACAGAACCAGTGAGGAAGCAGGATCTGCTGGGAAGACCTGTGTTGCTCCCTCCAGGGATGGTGCTGAGCCATGGCAGCCCCTTGGCACCACTTGCAGAGCCAGTTCCGTGGTGCCATCACACTGTGTGCTGTGCCCAGGGGTGGTGGTGGCACAGTTTGGGGGGAGACAAGTCCCTTTGGGGATGGTGGCTCCAAGGACACCCCCTCTGGCCTGAGAATTGCTCAGTCCTCAAAGTCTCATCCTGGTGGAGGGTGACCAGGGACGCTGCTGTGTCCCTGCCCCGTGTTCTTGCAAGGCACCCGCTTTGGCGCATCTTGGGGACCGTGACCGGGCAGGAGGGACCTCTGCTTGGAGCCTCCAGGGGTTGAGGGATGCTGTCCCTGCCTCTGGCACTCCTTGGGGGGGGACACATTGCCAGCCTGGTGGCAGCTCCATCCCCACCCCAGCTCTTTTCTGGCTGGGACACGGGGTGAGTGGGGCTGGGAGGGTTTGGTGGGGCTGGTTGGCTCCTTGGGAGGACCCTGGCCATCCCACCCCACCCCAGAACTCCATCCCTTCTCCTTATGGAGCTGGGAGGAGATGCTCAGCCTGGCACCACGAGGTGACCGGTGCCATGTCCTCATGGGAGGATGCTCCTGTCACCCCGGGGGTCCCCTCAGGGTTTTGGTGGAGCCAGGACTCTGGTGATCCTCAAGGAGCCCACCTTGGGGTGCAAGAGTGGGAGGACACCTATGGGAGCGGGCGTGGGGGCGCTGGGGGCAGCTTTGGGGTGTCACCTCCTAGGGAATGGTGTTTTGGGGGGTTCTCCTGACCTGTGCCCCCCCTTTGCAGGACAAGAACAGGAAGCTGAGGCCCCTCTACGACATTCCCTACATGTTTGAAGCCCGGGAGTTCCTGCGCAAGAAGCTCATCGGGAAGAAGGTAGGTGTCCCTCAGGGCTCAGTTCTGGGGCCAGTCTTGTTCAATATCTTTATTGATGATCTGGACAAGGGGAACGAATGCACCCTCAGTAAATTTGCAGATGACACCAAACTAGGTGGGAGTGTTGATCTGCTTGAGGGTCGGAAGGCTCTACAGAGGGATCTGGACAGACTGGATCAATGGGCCAAGGCCAATGGGATGAGGTTTAATAAGGCCAAGTGCCGGGTCCTGCATTTTGGTCACAACAACCCCAGGCAACGCTACAGACTTGGGGCAGAGTGGCTGGAAAGCTGCCCAGAAGAAAAGGACCTGGGGGTGTTGGTGGACAGCCAGCTGAACATGAACCAGCAGTGTGCCCAGGTGGCCAAGAAGGCCAATGGCATCCTGGCTCGTATCAAGAATAGCGTGGCCAGCAGGAGTAGGGAAGTCATCGTGCCTCTGGACTGGGCACTGGTGAGGCCTCACCTCGAGGGCTGTGTTCAGTTTTGGGCCCCTCACCACAAGAAGGACATTGAGGGGCTGGAGCGTGTCCAGAGGAGAGCCACCAAGCTGGGGAGGGGTCTGGAGAACAAGTCCTATGAGGAGAGGCTGAGGGAACTGGGCATGTTTAGTTTGGAGAAGAGGAGGCTGAGGGGAGACCTCATTGCCCTCTACAACTCCCTGAAAGGAGG